TATTATAAGATTGAGATGGCAGTGTTCCTTGAGTGCAAGGCTTCCAAGCAACTCCAGAATACTACAAGCATGTCTGTGTTCAGCTGAGGGGTCCAAGGCGAGCTGGGAAGCTGGATGTACAATCCTCAGTGTGAGACAGAACCTTCCTTTCTGAACTCAGGTTCATTAAAGATCCCAGAGCGATTTTCTAAATCCAGTTACTGTAGCCAAAGCCTAGCGTTCCACCTCCTTTAATTCCACTGTTTCACTTGGACTCTGTTTTTGTAACTTCCTGTCCTAAACACTTGCCATAATGTTGTGCATTGTTAAAACTTCAGTATTGCTGCTCTGGGCCAACCAAGGGACCACTATCGAGCTCTCTACCTACCTCATGTAAGTATAGTGAGCTTTAATTCTTTTTTTTTGGTGACATTCCCAAAGATCAGCAGAATGAAGGACTCCAGGAAGACCAAAGTAGAAATGCTGGATTTGGCATGTTTTCTTAATGACATCACTGCCTTGCAAGATTGCTCATGGGGCAAACCTGCCAGGTTCCTGTTCAGATAACGTAACTAGGGCTCAAAAGGAAACACCTTTAACTATGCAAGACATTTCAGTTGCTTGATGAAAGGTTTGTTTCATCAGACAAGCTAATCATTGTTCAAAATCTACAAAAAATCACTCTTTTGTCAAACTCATTCCCTTGATGCATTCTCTGAAAATGCCTGCATTAGAAAACAGAATGTGCAGACAGCTTAGTACAGCCTTTGTGTTCCTCACAGCAGCATCAGAATGAGTTGTCTAATATCCTGCCCCCCCATCATATTAATTTGAACAGTTTTCCACATACACTTAATTTTTGAAGGGAAGCATTTCTGAACCTTGTGTTATTTATGTTTAGTTCTGCAAATTGGACTGTTTTCTGTGCTCTAAAGAACCAAATCACCAAATTCTGTTACTACCTGAAATGAGTTTGTCTGTTTGGTCTAATTCTCTTTTTCTGCCCTCACAGGATTTGACAGGTGGAGCATTTGAAACAAACCTGAACATGCTGAACTTGAAGGAAGGGATGGATTATTATCACTTTAACTAAAACCCAAGGTAAGGGCAGTGATGCTGAAGCTGTGCTAACCTCTATGTATCTGTGTGTAGGAAGACCAAAGTGTTCAGAGGTTTAGAATTTTTTAGTAATTTGTGGTTCATTAAATTAATCTTTGTGCTGTGTAATCCTTTTCTAAGGCAGGTCCTGGTTACACCAGGGATAATGCTATTGCTCAATTATACTATTGCACATCACTTGTTTACCAAAATCAGTGTGATTGTTAAATTGTATTTCTAATTTAAATAACCATCAAATACTGGCCATAGGAGGAACAAGAGGACTGGTACCATAGGGAAGCCTTAAAAATGCATCAAGCAAAGCCTAAAACCACTGGAAGTGTAAAGAGAAGCTTCTGACAAACAATGCCGGGGGCCTCACCCATTCCCTGCGACTGGCTCATTTCCTGCTACTGGGAGCAGCAGCGGCGCTTGCCGAGGTGAAGCTCTGCGCAGGGCCAGTACGGAGACTCCGGTGTGGCATCCTCTGATCTGGAGCTCTGTGAAAGGTACAGTTGTGTCTATCATGTCATCTGGCAGCCAGACGAGCATGTGTAGAGGTGCTCACTGTGTTCACTGGACCTTCTCAGACAACTCGTGGGACCTACAGGTGTAACTTTGCAAAACCAAGAGCTTTCCAGAATGTACCAGAACCTTCCACGTTAAGGTCAGGGTAACACCACAGCCTGGGGCTTCAGGAGTGTTTCTCCTGCAGTAACACCTGCCAGCAGCCCCCGCGGTGTGTGCAGCCACCTCAGTCTGCTGCACAGTATGTGCCCTGAGAGCAGTTTGTTTAATAGTCAGTCGGTGAATAACTCTGATCTACACTGGCTTTCATCTGCCAGTCCAGGTTGCAAGTATACGTAAGAAGAATTGAATAATAAATTTATAGATGTCTTAAAAAGGAAAAAGACTTTTAGAGTGAGACAAGGTGTAGGTTTGGAGATGAACACCTGCAGTAGAAGATTGCTGTGGTTTGTAGCAGGTACTTTACAGAGAAACTGGCTTGGTTTTTAGCTCCTCTGCCTGAATTTTTCCTTCCTTTCAAATTTTCATAGCTCTGTGTGTGTGTCTCACTTTCTCTGTTTAAGTGCTGGGATAGTGGGAAGTTAGATAGTGGGATAGTTACAACCATCAAATAACACAGTGTAATGAGAGCATCGTGTTGCCTGTGCATTTGTCCTCCCCATCACATTGGTCTTCCTAAAGATAAATGTTATGGCCATTTCATTTTACAGTCAGTAAGAAATGGTCTAAGTTCCCACCTCTGTATTCTTCAAGGGAAAAAAAAAAAAAAGCTTTAGTCCTTAAAGCTAGTTTACCACAAAAACATTTGCTTGAATTAGTTCTATAAAGAGCTATTAAGAGAGGCTTTGAGTTTAGCTGAAGTGAAACCTGGATTTTTCATTTGACTGACATAAGAATGAGAGACGTATCGACGGAAAGAGTTTATGTTCAGGAAGATTTCATTATCACTAAGTACTGCCATTACTCTGAAAAACAATTCTGTTAAGAGACTAATGCAGCAAGTCAGGTTTAATACTTGTGTGTACAGCAAGCACAGGTTGAAGGGCTCTGTTCAGAATTGTGCAAGTATAAATCATTGACATCAAAAAACCCAGGTCAGTTGTGACAGACGCATGAAGAGAAACTGCCATCTCATGGCTACAGATAACGACTTGAAAACCTGAAAACAGAATGAACCTGTGTTGCCTTCATACAGCACACCTGCACAACGCTGTCAAGACATCATCTCCGCCTCTTATTTCGTTAAACAGCGCACTTCGCGGCTCCGGCGGAGAATCCAGTGGGTCGGGAAGCTGTGACACAAACTCTTCCAGTCCTAATGGCACCTGAACCGAGCTCCAGTTTACAAACCAGCAGCCAGTGCCTCCAGCTTCGTCATGCTGAACTCTACAACAGAGAAAGGAAAAAAAGAGGTCACATGGAGTAGCACGTATCACTATTTCAACAGCATCCCAATCATGTAATTAACTAAATGGAGAAGAAAAAAGCTGTAACATTCTCAGTCCTTTTTAACACCTTGATTTTTAACTACCCTTTAGCAAATTTTATTTGTACAAGTTTTAAAGGAACAGTAAGTTCACCTTTGCATAATGTTATGCTTGGCTTCCTCTGTTCTCAGAGGAGCTCTTGAAGAGAGCAGAGTGCTCCTCACTCGTGTGAGCACAAACGGGCTGCTTCTAGGGACATCTGGACAGCTGCAAAAAGTCCTTCAAGTTCAGTGAGTATCACTCTCAGAGTGAACTCCAGCAGCTCTCAGGGCAGGTGCAGGCTTAACTTCTTAGTAAAAGCTAAACTATTTGCATATCTTAAAAAGAGGAAAAGTAATTCCAAATTCAGCCATGTGACTTCCAGATTTCACACGTCAGGATTCATAACAGTTCCATCTGAAATACCTGTATGTATATTTGGCTATTTCTTGTGCTTTTGTTTATATCAGAAACAGTTTTCTCCTAACTTGTCAGGCTTCTCCCAGCCTCCAGTAATTAAGGAGTTGAAATAAGTTTTTCTGAGATTAGTGAATTCATCTTGTAATGTCTTCGTTTTGAACATAACGTTCTATTAGTCAACATAACGTTGACTAGAAAACCTTGGAACAGCAATGCTCAGGTCCATTCTTGCTTTATAAACAAGGGCTTGTATCAGTAAGAGGTTCAGGTTCTTGTTTTCCAAAATAACAAAAGTGTTACTCGTAGGTTTCTTGAAACCGTACTAAAAGCAGAAAACTGTAGACGTGCCTCAGTAAGAAGATGAACAGGGAAAGCTGCTGTGGGGACAGCAGGGTGTCTTTGAAGGTTATTCATAGATGTCTTAAGCATCAATCTTCTGACCAATTTTTTCAATATACTTTTTAAAAAAATGTATATATTTTTGTATAAATGACAACTCAAAACATACAATCTACTTCCATTAGGAAGCATCTTCAGTGTAAAGGATTATCAGAATGTTACGCAGGAAGAACTGGCTGAGCTCCAAGACTCACACACTGTAGTATCACAAAGAGCCAGGTCAACCAGCACTTTCAAAATGCCATTAGCAAAGATCACCTTTAGATGTGCTGGAGGAGAAGAGACTTGGTGACTTTCATCTACAGATGCTGCAGGTGGGAAAAAGGCTAATGGCATTCTGAAACGGAACTGTGCAGAGCAACAAAATAATGCTTTGCCTAATTCTAGTCATGAAAATAAACTTAATGGTGTTCAAGTATTTTAATGAGAAAGTGAAGCGAATGAAGATCTACTCTATTTGGAACACCTTAGGAAAGAAGACTGCACAGGTGATGTTTCTGAATTCCAAAATGATTACAAAGGACAAAACTTTTTAGAACTATGAAAGCAGAGAACAATAAAAACCACAAAGACAAGAATAAATTTATATACCACTCTTTTTAAGCTTAATCAGTTTCTGTAATAGATGATATGCTGTGGATGCCTGTGATACTAGGGAAGCAGTGTCATCAAGTGTTTTTTCTCCTTGTCTTGTATTACCCAAAGGAATCGTGATTTGTCTTTGGAAATGGTCATGCCAAGAGATGTTCTCTAAAACAGTAATAATTCAGTCTCCTTGTCTTTGAACAGAGAGGAAAGGAACCGAAACAGAAAATTCTGAATTTCTGAAACACTGAGCAGATGGGCAATGCCAAACTATCTGCATTAAAATGAAATGGGACATATGGATATATGGTCTGTCTTCTTATGGATGTGTTAGCTTTTAGATTATATTCTTATTAATTCTGTGGCTTGCACAACTGCATTATAACTTCATTGTTGAAATTGACTGGGAAGTTTTTATCCTTTTTCTTTCCCCAGAAAGGTCAGACAAGCAGTTTTTGAAACATCTGTACTGTATTATTTCATTCTTGCGTGTTGTCTGAGTAAGATGTCACACTACAAGTCTGGAATGCTTTCAAGAACTGAGACTGGAAGAGCTTAAGACAACAGTCTTCAGCAATTCCATATATTCTGCTGTAAGCTGTGAGGACATTCCTCCTGGTGCACATTGATATCTTCATGAACCAGCGAAGAATTGCATCTGTTGCACAGAAGTACCCAGTAGATTTGGTGGAACAATCAATCATTACTGTGTTTCTTTAAAAAACCCTCAGGAGCACATTTCCATACTTTACCTTGGATACCAGCTGCGGTTTGGGCACTTTCATGAGATCACAGAGACAGTTGCGTTTCTCTCTTACTACTGGCAGTTCAGCTTCCCTGCACGAGGAAATATTTTCCAGTTAATTCAAAAATTAAAACCTGGAGTTGGCTACATAGACACAACTTCTTAAGCTGTTTTATTGCTCTATTACTATGTTTGCATCTGGACTTCCATGTACATTGCAAATGGCAGAAGTTTTTGTTGTGTCACATTTTATGAATAATACAACATTTTTGTACCATCTTAAGCCAGATGAACCATAAATACACAGCAGGTATTCCAGAAGTGACAGTTACTAGTAAAATCTCCAGGATTATTCTTCTAGCTTTTTGTATTCAAAAAAAAAAATATTTTGGTTTTCTTAAGTAACAAGTAACTGTAAGTGAGCTATTACGAATTTAACTTTGCACATTAACAGATTCCAAAACTACAGAGACAAAGCATGAAGGGTAAGTTACAAATAACCTGAACTTAGACACCTTGGACAATTTGTCATAGTTAATACTGACAACCTTCCTGTAGCTAAACAAAAGTTATTATTTATAGAGCGAGTTGTTTAAACTCTGAATGACACAGCTGTGTGACAAACTCTCTGTAGTTCCATGCGTATGCCAGTAATTATCATCTTCCCCAAACAGGAGGTCTCGTTTGGCTTCTTGCTGCTCATGCTTATTGTCATCCAGAATTTCCTACGCTCGTTTCAGCACCGAGCGAGCTTGAGAGTAACAAGCAGCTCACGCTGACACTCAGCAATTACTTCAAACATCTTCTGTAAACAGTTCAAATCGACCCAGATTTAATTGTTTTAAGTAAACC